GTGTTCTAAAGGCTTCTTGTATCTGAATAGGCCTATCTTTTTGCATGTTTGGGAAGTTCTCTGCTAGGATCCTGTTAAACAAATTTCCTAGACCATTAACTTCTGTTTCTAGGTACTCCTCTACACCCATTATCCTTAGATTAGGCCTTCTGATGGTGTCTTCCAGGTGTTGGATAGATCTATCATATTTCTTGGACTTGTCTTGGATGGTTGTATGTTCTTTCTCTATAATATCTAGGCTGTCTTCAATCCCTGAGATTCGATCTTCTGCATGGTCTAACCTGCTGTCAAGACTCTCCACTTTGTTTTTTATCTCTTTTCCTTCTAATTGGTCAGCTTTGATGGCTTCAAGTTCTTTGTTGAAGCTCTGTTTTAGGTCTTGTATGAGTTTCTTTACTTCCTTAATTTGGTGTTCAGTGTTTGTTCTCAAATCACTTAGTTGATTGGTTATGGTTTCTTTGGACTCCCATTCCTTCTGTTGGGTTCCATTCAGCATTCCCTTTGTGGTCTCCTTCTGTGAAGTTTTGACTGTTAGCCCAGCTACACTTTCTTTAATTAAAATGCATGAATGTGTTCAATTATTTTAGGTATTCATTTCTCAATTGTTTTGTCTTAGGGTTTCACAAACATGTCTAATGTATTATTAACCTGCACTAAACACTGCCTTGCAGGCTCTTTGTACACGTGTTCTGGTCTCCTCCCCTCCGTGAACACCTGCTGGGTACTGTGAGGCCTAGCCAGGGCTCCCAGTGCCGTCAGGAAAACAGAAGCTCTGAAGGGAAGCCACTCCTGGCGGTGGCTCACCTGACACTCTGGGCTAAGGGTGTGTTTCACTGATTTTGCTCTTTCAGAGGACTTTGAACCTCATAGTGCTGCGCATCATGTGTCTTTGCCCTTTGCTGCTGGGAGAATCTGGGGACTGTGTGGTCACAAGAGTCACGGGTGGCTGATGACAGCCAGAGAAACCCAAGCCCCTGGGCCAGAAGAGCCAAGCCGCCCGCAGGGCAGCGGCTATGGAGAGGGCTGTGCTTCAAGTCAGTTCTGAGGCCTGCTGAGCTCAGCTGCCCAGTGTCCCGCTGGCTCCACTGCCCTCTCTGCTGACCGGCAGTGAGCTTCTTGTTTTGGTTGGCAGGGCTGAGGTCTGAGCCGCATTTGGACAAGCTAGGCAAGTGTTCCACCACTGCGCTACATCCCATCTTTTGTGCTGCATTTTTTCCTGGTTAATTCTTTCTGTGTGGACCTCGGTTCATCAGAAGCTTTACTGGGTGTGTAAGTAAGGCCACTAGCGCACACTCAGACTGGACGCAGTGGCAGGAGGACAGTGTGACAAGGAGGCATCGACGTGGCCTGGGCCACTCAGGAGGCCCAGAGAACCGTGCGCTCGGCCTCCGTGTGTGACACTTCCTGAGGTCAGGGGGAGGCACTTTGTGAGCACCCTTGGCCTATCTGCCCAGTCCCCATCTGCCCAGTCCCCCGTCTGCCCAGTCCCCCGTCTGCCCAGTCCCCCGTCTGCCCAGTCCCCCGTCTGCCCAGTCCCCATCTGCCCAGTCCCTGTCTGCCCAGTCCCCCGTCTGCCCAGTCCCCCGTCTGCCCAGTCCCCCGTCTGCCCAGTCCCCATCTGCCCAGTCCCCATCTGCCCAGTCCCTGTCTGCCCAGTCCCCTGTCTGCCCAGTCCCCATCTGCCCAGTCCCCATCTGCCCAGTCCCCCGTCTGTCCAGTCCCCCGTCTGTCCAGTCCCCTGTCTGTCCAGTCCCCTGTCTGTCTAGTCCTGGTTGTCCAGTCCCCTGTCTGTCCAGTCCCCATCTGCCCAGTCCCCTGTCTGCCCAGTCCCCATCTGTCCAGTCCCCGGTCTGTCCAGTCCCCTGTCTGTCCAGTCCCCTGTCTGTCTAGTCCTGGTTGTCCAGTCCCCTGTCTGTCCAGTCCCCATCTGCCCAGTCCCCTGTCTGTCCAGTCCCCTGTCTGTCTAGTCCTGGTTGTCCAGTCCCATGTCTGTCCAGTCCCCATCTGCCCAGTCCCCTGTCTGTCCAGTCCCCTGTCTGTCTAGTCCTGGTTGTCCAGTCCCCTGTCTGTCCAGTCCCCTGTCTGCCCAGTCCCCATCTGTCCAGTCCCCTGTCTGTCCAGTCCCCTGTCTGCCCAGTCCCCATCTGCCCAGTCCCCATCTGCCCAGTCCCCATCTGCCCAGTCCCCCGTCTGCCCAGTCCCCATCTGCCCAGTCCCCTTTCTGTCCAGTCCCCTGTCTGCCCAGTCCCCTATCTGCCCAGTCCCCTGTCTGCCCAGTCCCCTGTCTGCCCAGTCCCCGTCTGCCCAGTCCCCATCTGCCCAGTCCCCATCTGCCCAGTCCCCTGTCTGCCCAGTCCCCGTCTGCCCAGTCCCCATCTGCCCAGTCCCCATCTGCCCAGTCCCCTGTCTGTCCAGTCCTGTCTGTCCAGTCCCCATCTGCCCAGTCCCCCGTCTGCCCAGTGCCCATCTGCTCAGTCCCCTGTCTGCCCAGTCCCCATCTGCCCAGTCCCCATCTGCCCAGTCCCCTGTCTGCCCAGTCCCCATCTGCTCAGTCCCCTGTCTGTCCAGTCCCCTGTCTGTCCAGTCCCCTGTCTGCCCAGTCCCCTGTCTTCCCAGTCCCCTGTCTGTCCAGCCCCCATCTTCCCAGTCCCCTGTCTGTCCTGTCCCCTGTCTGTCCAGTCCACCATCTGCCCAGTCCCCATCTGCCCAGTCCCCTGTCTGTCCAGTCCCCATCTGCTCAGTCCCCTGTGAAGCCATGCTGCCTGATGGGCGGGAGAGGAGCTGCAGAGAGGAGCTGTGCCCAGGGTTTGAGCCCTGGGACTGTGGCTCTGGACCAGTGGAGAATGAAAGAGTAGTTTCCGGCTCCCCCTCCTGCTCCCTCCACAGGAGCCAGTCATCAGGAAAGTCACAAGGAGTCCCGCAGCCTGGCATTGTCCCCGGCTTCTACTGGGCAGGGCCCAGCGTGGGGGCTGGGGGCACAGGCCTCCCTCCCACCCTGACTCAGGGGCGGGTGGTGAAGCTCCCATTGCCTAGATCAGATCTGCAGGGTCCCAGAGAGTTGCTTTCCTCAGAACACAGGAACACAAGGCCACTCTCTCAGCTTCTAAGCCAGCCACAGGCTGCTACTGCACGCTGTGCCCCCAGCCCCGCTGGCCTGGGGGGCTGGGGCCTCGTCCAGTGGGCTCACAGCCCTGACTCCATTCCTGCCGTGATGAATCCACCCCAGGCCCCGCTCCACGCACCAAGGGCCTTTCACCAATTGCCTTCACACGATACACGGCCTGTGGCATTCGTTTCCATAGGCCAGCGTTCACTGAAAACGGTTGAATCCTGCTAGATCAGTGTCCTCCAGGCCTGCTCAGTGGACTCTTGATTGAGGCTGGGGAAGGAGCAGCTCAGCCTTGGCTCTGACTAGGTCCTATGCCCTGAGTGTGCTCAGGGTGGGTTTGGAGACCCACAGCCGGTCCACCGTGTGAGGGAAAGATCAAGCGGATGAGAGGAGAGAAAGCAGGCAGGGACAGGCCTGTCAGGACAGGCTTTCGTCACCACCGCCAAGAAACACCACGTAGCGCCGAGCAGGCAGAGAAACAAGGAGTAAAGAGCATGGGGGTTGGGGTTTTAACACAGCGGAGTGTGAGAGTTTGTTGGAAATGTCCTGTTTGGGATTAATGGTAGGCATCGCTCGGACGCCGGCATCCTACAGATAGGGTCTCTTGCAGCGCCTCCTGCTTGTTTCAGATTGGCCCTGGTTGCTTCTCCATGCCAGGTCACATGGGAGCGTAGCTCGCTGCCATTGAGTTTCTTAGTGAATAAACAGTGAGGCTGTGGCTTCAAATGGCAGCTGCTTGCCTGCGCCTCCCGGCCAGGCCCAGGTCCTGTAAGCACCGGCCTCCACGCTGCCTCCTCGCCGCAGGCTGTGCCTGGCCACTCTGTTCTCTGCTGATGCCTTTGGGGTCCACTAGGGCTCAGCCCAGATCTAGCCTGCCGGTCAGTCTGCTGGCTCTGCCTTTCATTCTCATCTGTTAGGACCTGACCACTTCTCATCACCTTGTTTCAAACGGGTCCTGATGTCCCACAGGAGCTCGTACTCACCTTGGAGAAGACTTTGCTCTCCCTCCCCACTGGCCTTGCCCCCCTCCCTCCCCACCCCACCATCAAATCTCATTACTCTACAGCCTGTGTGTGTGTGTGTGTGTGTGTGTGCGCCCCGTGTGATGTGATCCCTTCTTGCCAGCTCTCCGCTATGGGATGTTTGTGCTGGTCAGCTCTCCGCTATGGGATGTTTGTGCTGGGCTGCTGTCCCTCCGTGCTGGGGCCGGCCATCTTCTATGGTTTGGCTGAATCACAGGTCACCTGTCAGTGCTACAGCCCAAACACCGCAGCTCCTGCGGGTCCATGGGCTGGGCAGCCAAGTCACCCGCACCCTGGCCCCAGGCGGACACCTCAAGAAAGCAGGGATGGAGGAAGGGGAGCCGGTTCCTGTGGCCCCGTCTGCTCCCAGAGGAGAAGACCCGTCCCTTGGAGGGCGGCGCTGTCGCAGAACCCAGGGCAGCCCTTCCATCCTTCCGTCCGTGCCTGATGAGTCTGGGTGAGAAGCGGGGAGCCTGGGTGCCTGAAACCCCAGAAAGCTCTAGGAGGTAGCAGTCCTGAGATGCTGGGGCTCGGCCTCTGGAAGAGGGCGCCTTTCTGTGCCAGGCCTGGGCCTCTGATGCCACCACGTGGTCTCTGGGGGTCAGAGGTCCCAGCCCACCTGCTGGGACAGGAAACACACCGGACCTTGGTTGTCTCACACTAATTTGTTCACAAAAATCATTCAGCCATTCACCGTGGGTGGTGAGAAAACAAAAGGTGAAGATCTCTCCTGGTTTGAGGTGGAGGCAGAATTCTAAGATAGCCTGGCTCCCGTTGTCCATGCAGTCCACAGGCAGACCCTCGGAGGTCTCGGACACCTTGATCTGATGTGCACCAGCCACTCACGGAAGCGTTTTCTCTCCGTGCAGATCACCTTCTATATTCTGGTGAAGGCCATTTACACCCTGGGCTACAGTGTCTCTCTGATGTCTCTCACAACAGGAAGTGTCATTCTTTGCCTCTTCAGGTAAGGCACAGAAACAAGAAGTTCTGCAACAAATACAAGAGGTTCTTTTGGCACCCCAAAGAGGCAGGAGACCTCCAGGCTGGAGACTCTCCTGTGCCAAGTCATAAAGTGCCCTTGGAGAATACTGGCAAGCAATGTGATGCTGACACAGACAGTTTAATCTAAATATTCTCCAGCTCTGTGTAGGCAGGTGATGTAGGCCTTGGATAGGAATTCAGTTCAGCTATCATTTATTAGATGAATAGACATTATGCAAATGCATGGAACTACAGAGGCAAAGTGATCTTGACCTTGCTTCCCAGAAGCTCCCACATGCTCAGTGGCGAGATGCTGCAACGTATCTGAGAGCCCTAAGTTGGGCATCAGTGTGCTTGGGTTCGAGTCCTGTGATCTCAGACAAGAGAGCTCTTCATAGCTCTATGTAGCTGTACAGTATAGATACTAATGGAGCCACATCAAAACCACTCCAGGCTGATTATTAATTATCTGAGGAGAGGACAAGGCGGTGTCTACTGTGGCCCTGTCTCAAAATAGAAGAGTGTAAAGAAGACTACAGGTGTGGTGTAAGTGTAGAGCATTTGCCTAGCAAAGCTATGAGTTCAGACCTGTTACACACACACACACACACACACACACACACACACAAATTCATATATGACACTGTGCCCACCTGACAAGTAGTGCTAAACAGAAAAAATCATTAGGATAAGATGTTGCCATGAGTGGAACAAATATCATAATGCCAAGCTCTGGTGGCTCATACCTATCATCCTAACTACTCAGCTGAGATCTAGGGATTGCAGTTCAAAGCCAGCCCCAGCAGGACAGTCTGTGAGACTCTTGTCTCCAACTAACCACAAAAACACAGAAGTAGAGCTGTGAGCATTGTAGTAGAGAGATGGTGTTGAGCAAAAATACTCACATTGTGTTGAAGCCCCAGGACCGGGTACTCTGAATGGAGACAGAAGAGAGAGCCCCGGCACCTGTGAGACACACCCAACACCTCACATCCCTGAGACACGCTCAACGTCCACAGACACACTCCCAGGTGGCTCTGACACCTAGCCTAAGGAAATAGTCTGAAATGGGGGAGATTTGTGTGCAACAAAATTTCATAATGAAAAACTGGAAGCAATCTAAAAGCACAATGATAATGGAATGGTTCTGGGGTGAGATTTGTTTAAAAAAACAAACATGAAGATGAATTCCACATGAGTATCTGGTGTCACAAATCCAGCTCTAATGGTTTCCCCTCTGATTTCCATCCTCCTCCGCTCTCTCCTCTAGGAAGCTGCACTGTACCCGGAACTACATCCACCTGAACCTGTTCCTCTCCTTCATCCTGAGAGCCATCTCGGTGCTGGTGAAGGACAGCATCCTCTACTCCAGCTCCGGCACATGGCACTGTCCTGACCAGCCATCCTCCTGGGTACGGCTGGCTTCGAAAGTTGGGTCTTCGGGGGCAGGGATGGAATGGGGAACAAAACCCACCGGTGACTCCTGACCCGAGCAGAGCCAGGTCAGAGCCGGCTCAAGGGCCACACAGAGGCCAGAGGCCCAGCCCACCCCCTGGGGCTGGACCATCAAAGGCCCTGAGCTGTGACCCCAGCAGACCTGGACAGAGAGTAGTAGTTCCCAGGGAAATCCTGACTTAGACAAATGCACATTTGGTCTAAATCATCCAGCTTCAATGCTACCGGACGAAATCGGTCTGTCCTGCGACTAAATCCCATGCAGACTGGCCTGGATGTGCAGCCATGCATGCATGGTTCCGGCGCTTGATACCAGGCGGGGAAGTGGCCTCCTGCGCTGTCCTTGTATGGCTCTGTGTGTGGTGGTGACCACTGGATGCTTAGTACCCGGTCAGGCCAGACTCGCTCAGCACATAGTTACTGAGTCCCTCCTAGATGCGATTGTTCCCAAGGGTTTGATGATGCCTAGCACTGCACATATGGGACAGTGGTGTAGCTCTCTTGGTCTGATGCTGAGTCCAGGACTCAGCCTGTGCCTCCCACATGCTGGGAGCCCAGCCCCCGGGCTTGGGAAGCCTGTGTCCTGCCTGTCTGAGCAGGAGCTGGGGCAGATAATGGGACCTGATGGGCCCAAGCCTGCAGAGTCATGGACAACTAAATGCGCTTTGCCTGCCAATGCGGGTGACTGGGCGCAAAGCCCAGAGCACGTCATAATGATCACACTGGGGAGGGCTTTGACCACAGCATGGGTCCGAGGAAGGGCAGAGAGAACCGTGAGCAAACATCAAAAAATGTGCCTGTGCATGCCCTGTGCATGACAACACAAAGCCATGCACACATGTAGAACACACAGGAACTCACACCCTCACACATGCACGGACACTCACACAGAAGGTCCCAGGCAGGACCCAGGTCTCCAGAAACAGTTGTTGACTGGCCACATCTGCTCCTCATTGTGTGGGACAGGATGGGAGGTGGATGCTGTGGACAGCAAGGTCAGGAGAGGGTCCAGGGCTCACAGACCTCCATCTTCATGGACAGTGAGTTCAGGAGAGGGTCCAGGGCTCACAGAACTCCATCCTCATGGACAGCGAGCTCAGGAGAGGGTCCAGGGCTCACAGAACTCCATCCTCATACAGTGAGCTCAAGAGAGGGTCCAGGTCTCACAGACCTCCATCCTCATGGACAGTGAGCTCAGGAGAGGGTCCAGGGCCCACAGACCTCCATCCTCATGGACAGTGAGCTCAGGAGAGGGTCTGAGGCCCACAGACCTCCATCCTCATGGACAGTGAGCTCAGGAGAGGGTCCAGGGCCCACAGACCTTCATCCTCATGGACAGTGAGCTCAGGAGAGGGTCCAGTGCTCACAGAACTCCATCCTCATGGACAGCGAGCTCAGGAGAGGGTCCAGGGCCCACAGACCTCCATCCTCATGGACAGCGAGCTCAGGAGAGGGTCCAGGGCCCACAGACCTCCATCCTCATGGACAGCGAGGTCAGGAGAGGGTCCAGGGCCCACAGACCTCCATCCTCATGGACAGTGAGCTCAGGAGAGGGTCCAGGGCTCACAGACCTCCATCCTCATGGACAGTGAGCTCAGGAGAGGGTCCAGGGCCCACAGACCTCCATCCTCATGGACAGTGAGTTCAGGAGAGGGTCCAGTGCTCACAGACCTCCATCCTCATGGACAGTGAGTTCAGGAGAGGGTCCAGGGCTCACAGACCTCCATCCTCATGGACAGTGAGCTCAAGAGAGGGTCCAGGGCCCACAGACCTCCATCCTCATGCAGTGAGGTCAGGAGAGGGTCCAGTGCTCACAGACCTCCATCTTCATGGACAGTGAGCTCAGGAGAGGATCCAGGGCCCATAGACCTCCATCCTCATACAGTGAGCTCAGGAGAGGGTCCAGGGCCCACAGACCTCCATCCTCATGGACAGCGAGGTCAGGAGAGGGTCCAGGGCCCACAGACCTCCATCCTCATGGACAGTGAGTTCAGGAGAGGGTCCAGGGCTCACAGACCTCCATCCTCATGGACAGCGAGCTAAGGAGAGGGTCCAGGGCTCACAGAACTCCATCCTCATGGACAGTGAGCTCAGGAGAGGGTCCAGTGCTCACAAAACTCCATCCTCATGGACAGCGAGCTCAGGAGAGGTCCAGGGCCCACAGACCTCCATCCTCATGCAGTGAGGTCAGGAGAGGGTCCAGTGCTCACAGACCTCCATCCTGATGGACAGTGAGCTCAGGAGAGGGTCAAGGGCCCACAGACCTCCATCCTCATGGACAGCGAGCTCAGGAGAGGGTCCAGGGCCCACAGACCTCCATCCTCATGGACAGCGAGCTCAGGAGAGGGTCCAGGGCCCACAGACCTCCATCCTCATGGACAGTGAGGTCAGGAGAGGGTCCAGGGCCCACAGACCTCCATCCTCATGGACAGTGAGCTCAGGAGAGGATCCAGGGCCCACAGACCTCCATCCTCATGGACAGCGAGCTCAGGAGAGGGTCCAGGGCCCACAGACCTCCATCCTCATGGACAGTGAGGTCAGGAGAGGGTCCAGGGCCCACAGACCTCCATCCTCATGGACAGTGAGCTCAGGAGAGGATCCAGGGCCCACAGACCTCCATCCTCATGGACAGCGAGGTCAGGAGAGGGTCCAAGGCCCACAGACCTCCATCCTCATGGACAGTGAGTTCAGGAGAGGGTCCAGGGCCCACAGACCTCCATCCTCATGGACAGTGAGTTCAGGAGAGGGTCCAGGGCTCACAGACCTCCATCCTCATGGACAGTGAGCTCTGGAGAGGGTCCAGGGCCCACAGACCTCCATCCTCATGGACAGTGAGGTCAGGAGAGGGTCCAGGGCCCACAGACCTCCATCCTCATGGACAGCGAGCTCAGGAGAGGGTCCAGGGCTCACAGAACTCCATCCTCATGGACAGTGAGCTCAGGAGAGGGTCCAGTGCTCACAGAACTCCATCCTCATGGACAGCGAGCTCAGGAGAGGTCCAGGGCCCACAGACCTCCATCCTCATGCAGTGAGGTCAGGAGAGGGTCCAGTGCTCACAGACCTCCATCCTGAAGGACAGTGAGCTCAAGAGAGGGTCCAGGGCCCACAGACCTCCATCCTCATGGACAGTGAGCTCAGGAGAAGGTCTGAGGCCCACAGACCTCCATCCTCACGGACAGCGAGCTCAGGAGAGGGTCCAGGGCCTACAGACCTCCATCCTCATGGACAGTGAGGTCAGGAGAGGGTCCAGGGCCCACAGACCTCCATCCTCATGGACAGTGAGCTCAGGAGAGGATCCAGGGCCCACAGACCTCCATCCTCATGGACAGCGAGGTCAGGAGAGGGTCCAAGGCCCACAGACCTCCATCCTCATGGACAGTGAGCTCAGGAGAGGGTCCAGGGCCCACAGACCTCCATCCTCATGGACAGTGAGTTCAGGAGAGGGTCCAGGGCCCACAGACCTCCATCCTCATGGACAGTGAGTTCAGGAGAGGGTCTAGGGCTCACAGACCTCCATCCTCATGGACAGTGAGCTCTGGAGAGGGTCCAAGGCCCACAGACCTCCATCCTCATGGACAGTGAGGTCAGGAGAGGGTCCAGGGCCCACAGACCTCCATCCTCATGGACAGCGAGCTCAGGAGAGGGTCCAGGGCTCACAGACCTCCATCCTCATGGACAGTGAATTCAGGAGAGGGTCCAGGGCCCACAGACCTCCATCCTCATGAACAGCGAGCTCAGGAGAGGGTCCAGGGCCCACAGACCTCCATCCTCATGGACAGTGAGTTCAGAAGAGGGTCCAGGGCCCACAGACCTCCATCCTCATGGACAGCGAGCTCAGGAGAGGGTCCAGTGCTCACAGACCTCCATCCTCATGGACAGCGAGCTCAAGAGAGGGTCCAGGGCCTCCATCCTCATGGACAGCGAGCTCAGGAGAGGGTCCAGGGCCCACAGAACTCCATCCTCATGGACAGTGAATTCAGGAGAGGGTCCAGGGCCCACAGACCTCCATCCTCATGAACAGCGAGCTCAGGAGAGGGTCCAGGGCTCACAGACCTCCATCCTCATGGACAGCGAGTTCAGGAGAGGGTCCAGGGCCCACAGACCTCCATCCTCATGGACAGTGAGTTCAGGAGAGGGTCCAGGGCTCACAGACCTCCATCCTCATGGACAGCGAGCTCAGGAGAGGGTCCAGGGCTCACAGACCTCCATCCTCATGGACAGCGAGGTCAGGAGAGGGTCTAGGGCCCACAGACCTCCATCCTCATGGACAGTGAGTTCAGGAGAGGGTTCAGGGCCCACAGACCTCCATCCTCATGGACAGCAAGCTCAGGAGAGGGTCCAGGGCCCACAGACCTCCATCCTCATGGACAATGACGTCAGGAGAGGGTCCAGGGGTCACAGCCTGCACTGTCTGTCCCTCATCCTGCAGGATGTCTGATCCATGTCCTTGCTCTGCGGGTGGCCACTGGCATGCAAGACTCCAGGCTCACTCATTTAAGCCATCCTAGGTCTCACCCTCAGAGTCCCTGCACGGCTTCTCCGTGTGCGGTGCCTGTACTTGGGGGAAGTAGAGCTGCTGACTTGCAAGGTCTCGGGCAGCTACGGGGCAGCCCTGTGGAGAGAGGCCCAAACACTTGTTTGAGCACTGTTGCGTGTTTCTTGCTTCTTGTTATTCTGTGATCAAGGCATGAGTCAGTCTGGCATCTGGTAAGGGTTCCCTTTGCCCTCCGTGGTGGAGCTTGCTAGCCTCTCCCAGCCTGCTGCCAGCCCCGCCTCCCCCCCCCCCCCCGCCCCAGATACAAGCCTGTGATAGAACTGCCTTCTACCTTGTCAGTGTCGTAGTCGTGTTTTTGGTTTCAGGCTTCCTGTCTTGATTGGGTGGCTTAAAGTTATGTCATTTTTAAGTAGCTGCACAGAGGGGTTTCCATTCAACATGTCATTTTCGGAATACCAAGGTCACCCCTTTATTTCTTTAGTGCACTGATTTGTGTGTTTCAAGATAGAGTAACTCGTCAAAGACAGAAAGATGCATTTGGATGGCATCAACAGCACCCAGAACCCTGTCTGCTAAAGGCCTGTAAATGTGTTTCACTGTTCAATGTGATGAGAAGTCATGAATCTGCATTGCTTTTCCTGCTTTTGTGGTGGGTGGTTGCAGCCGATTCGGTGGCCAAAGGCAGAGGTGACAGGGATTGTTCTCCGTCTTTCTCCACTTTGGAGAAAGGAGAAGTAAAGCGATGTGAGGCAGGTGGGAGTCGGGAGGGGCTGGGCCACATGGCTGCTGGGGGAAGCCCCTCACGGCCCAGGGAGCTCAGCTCAGAGCTCAGCACGATCCCCATAGGGAGGGTGTGGTGTGTGTGTGTGTGTGTGTGTGTGTGTGTGTGTGTGCTCACACCCACACACGTGTGCACACATAAGTATGTTCACCCCATGAGCAGGTAAAAAGCGTGCCCGCCCATGTGTGAAGCACTACACTTCCACCAGTGCATAAACGTGTCTGCTACATCTATACATCACACTGCCCCCAAATACAAGTATTTCCAGTGGATGTCGATTACCTATATTCCAACATCCATGGGTATGTATCTGCATAGATACAGAAAATTAAAAGAACGGAGTGGGAGGTGCTGTTCTCTGTAGCACGCTGTGACTGGAGTGGTGGAAGGAAGCGGACTGCGAGTTTGCCCTGAGGGGAAATCTCTGATGCATCTGGCTGCGCGAAAGGAGGTTTGAGAGACTGAATTGCTTGACTGTCATCTGCCCAGTGAAAACCCCTGCAAAACTCCAGGGGAAATAATTCATTGGATGTATCTTTCTCTTGCTTTTCCATCTCTAATTAATTTCCCCAAATTAAAACCTCTCTTTTACAACTGGGGAAACTGCAAGATTCTCTAAGGTCCTGATTCTGGCTGCCATTTTATCTTCCTAAACCTCTTGGCAACTGAACTACTACGAAGGGTGTTGGCGGCTGAGCCTCAGCCTTTCCTGTGCTCACCCCCAGCCGTAGGGACAAGGCTGAGGGGCTTCAGGTGCCGGGGCCCAGCCCTCCGGGCACAACCTGCCACGCTGTGCTCACTCCACCCTCAGCCAGCCATGTCCCGGGGAGGAGGGGGGAGCTTGAGTGGCTGTGGAGGAAGAGGATGGGGAGGCAGGCAGGTGCATGGACGGTGGGAGGAGCACCAGCTCCCGGCGTCAGAGGCCTGCTGGCCACAGGGCGTTTTCATCTCCATCTCTGGGGAGATCGGCCCGTGCAGGTGGGTTGGGCACCGTGTCTACCAAAGGCCTCCCTGCAGCACAGGGCATTCCTGGTCAAGGCCAGGGCCACGGTGTGGATGGCAGCCATCTTGAGCCAGACCGGGATGTCTGGATCCCCACCCTGCACAGCAGCTCTGCGGCCACAACTGCTCTGACCCAGGGGCATTCCCTCACTGTCTCTGGCTCCAGGTTGGCTGCAAGCTCAGCCTGGTGTTCTTCCAGTACTGCATCATGGCAAACTTCTACTGGCTCCTGGTAGAGGGGCTGTACCTGCACACCCTCCTGGTGGCCATCTTCCCCCCCAGCAGATGCTTCCTGGCCTACCTCCTCATCGGATGGGGTAAGCAGCCAGTCCGCTCCCCATCACCCCAAACCAGTGCTCTCAGACTTCAGCTCAGAACACATCGCAGGGTGGTGGTGTCTGGGCTGCATGGTTCTACATGCAGCACCGAATGTGTCTGGAACAAGGGCCTTGTTTAAAATTGCGTAGATCCTCATTACCCAAGTTCAGAGTGAGCTGCGAACAAGTAGCAGGATGGTTTATTCCCCTCCCCTCTTCCCAGCTACACCAACAGTGGGAAATCAGAGAGGAGCAGGTGACAGGAGCAGTCTGCCCAGAGCCAGCGTTGGAGGCCTGAGCACACAGACCTCAGGTGTCACTGATGCGGGGAGCGTTTCTCCGTCCTGCCTTCAGTCACACTCTCTGTTAGAGTAGTTGCAGCCCTGGACAGATTCTCCGAATTTCCTTCACTGTAGTAAGACGTGCCGAGTGCAAGCCTACACACACTTGCCAGGCCTCTGAAGACGGTTTCCTGTGGTCCGTGGCAGCTGTGGCGCCCAGCCCAGCTGCGGTGCTGCTGCTGGCTCACCAGGCCGGGCTAGGGCCCAGCCCAGCTGTGGTGCCCAGCCCAGCTGCGGTGCTGCCGCTGGCTGACCAGGCCAGGCCGGGGCCCAGCCCAGCTGCGGTGCTGCCACTGGCTCACCAGGCCGGGCCGGGACCCAGCCTAGCTGCGGGGCCCAGCCCAGCTGCGGTGCTGCCACTGGCTCACCAGGCCGGGCTAGGGCCCAGCCCAGCTGCGGTGCTGCCGCTGGCTGACCAGGCCAGGCCGGGGCCCAGCCCAGCTGCAGTGCTGCCGCTGGCTGACCAGGCCAGGCCGGGGCCCAGCCCAGCTGCAGTGCTGCCGCTGGCTGACCAGGCCAGGCCGGGGCCCAGCCCAGCTGCGGTGCTGCCACTGGCTCACCAGGCCGGGCCGGGGCCCAGCCCAGCTGCGGTGCCCAGCCCAGCTGCGGTGCTGCCACTGGCTCACCAGGCCAGGCCGGGGCCCAGCCCAGCTGCGGGGCCCAGCCCAGCTGCGGTGCTGCCGCTGGCTCACCAGGCCGGGCTGGGGCCCAGCCTAGCTGCGGTGCCCAGCCCAGCTGCGGTGCTGCCGCTGGCTCACCAGGCCAGGCCGGGGCCCAGCCCAGCTGCGGGGCCCAGCCCAGCTGCGGTGCTGCTGCTGGCTCACCAGGCCAGGCCGGGGCCCAGCCCAGCTGCGGTGCTGCTGCTGGCTCACCAGGTCGGGCCCCAGCTGCGGTGCTGCTGCTGGCTGACCAGGCCGAGCAGGGCTCACTGCTTTCTTCCTGCAGGCATCCCCACTCTCTGCACAGCTGCGTGGACAGCAGCCAGGCTCGCTCTGGAAGACACGGGGTGAGTGCAGGGCCTACCCCCGCCCCGACACAGGCCCACTGTGCTGGCCCTAGGAAGCTAGAGGCCCTGGAGGGTGAGGACAGGAAGCGGGAAGCCCCCATAGGCATCAGGACGTTGGCAGCACTCAGCGCCCGTGGGAGGAGGCGGTGGGCGTCCACGGGGGTGGGTGTTGGGAGAAGGGCACGTATGAGAGTCAGAATGAAGCCAGGCCTGCAGCAGGGCTCACACTGGGACAGGCCAGGGGGAGACAGGGGAGCTATAGTGTCCACAGCAGAGCGGGCGGGCGCAGCACTCACCCCTGCTAAGTGCGCCCAAGAGGTGGAGAGCTGGCTGTGACCTGCATGGGCCTCAGCTGCTTCTGGTGCTCAGAGGCCTCATCACGGGCCCGCGTTGTGGCTCAATCCATGGAGCATGTGACCCTGACCCCAAACACAGACTCTGTGCTGTCCCCAGCCCAGAAGTGGCCGGAAGCAGGCCCGCCCACCTTGGATAGGTCTAAAGCAACCGAGTATTAATGGGACTTTGTGGGCTGGGCACCGTCTTCACCCAGGGGTGGGCTGCCGGCTGGGGTCGGCTGGTAGACTCCCCCCTCCCACCGGCTCCTGAGTGACGTCTGCCAGCTCAGCCGCCAGGAAAGTCCCCACGGGACCAGACAGAACCAGCTGGAGTCCAGGATGCGGACACAGAGCTGCCCTCGACAGACAGCCCGCGTCCACGACAGGGCTGTGGGCAGGAGAAGGCATGGAGGCCGCTTACAAGAAGGCAGGCAAACGTCCTAATAGAGACAATCTTCACTATAAAAACCAAAAGTGGAATTACCAGCTGGGACTGGCTCACACCTCTAAGCCTAACTCAAAAGGCTGAGATCCAAAGAACTTCAGTTTACAGCCAGCCCAGACAGAAAACTCTGTGAGACTCCACCTCTGAAATAACAGCAAAAAGCAGGGCTGGAGGCATGGCTCAAGTGGTAGAGACCAAGCCAAACAAGCACAAAGCCCTAAGTTCAAACCTCAGTCCCACTAAGAAAGAGAGAGGAAGAATGGAAAGAAAGAAAGAAGGAAGGAAAGACAAAATAAAAAGAAGGAAAGGAAGAAAAGAAAGAAGGAGGGGAGGGAGAGAGAAAGTAAAAAGAAAGAAGGAAAGAAAGAAAAAAGAAAAGAATGGAAGGAGGAATGAGAAAGTAAAAAGAAAGAAAAGAATAATGAATGAAAAAAGAAAGGAGAGAGAGGAGAAATTACGGCTAGTGGGAAGGCCCAGCTGCACTTCCCTGGACTGCTCTGTAGGCAATTTTCAAGCCTTCATTTAAGATACAGATATAAACTACTGGGGGAATCATTTGGGAGAGAAAAGTTTCTTCACGGTGTCAGGTGCTAAGTCTGAGTCTGGGCCTCCCACTGTCTCTTGTCCATGCACTGGGGTGATGCTTCACATCTCCACATGGTGTCTAAGGAAGTGAGGTGGATGGGCAGATGGACAGACGGACAGACAGGCGCTGGGCCCAGCAAGGGAGGGGCTTGCCCCGCAGGCTCAGGTGAGATCCGGGCACAGCTGCCCACCTCCGCCTGGGTGGTCTGTGGAGGGGTCGAGACACGGGTCTCCATCTCTCCAAAGCTGCTGGGACACAAATGAGCACAGCACACCCTGGTGGGTCATCCGGATGCCCATCCTGACCTCTATTATAGTAAGTCGTGGCTTGTGGAGACAGCTCTGCTGTGCACACCTGGGCAGAGCACAGAGGCCAAATGCCTGGTCCACTCAGCCTTGCTAACAGAAGGGTTGAGAAGCCCCTAGTGTGGCCTCAGGGAGGAGGGGAGGGATGGAGGAGGGGCAGGAGGGGGTAGGAGGGGGTGGTGGGATGGCCTCAGGGAGGAGGGGCGGGGGTGGGTGGGGGGCGAGGGGGCCTCTGGAGAGCTTTGTGCTTCCTGCTCACATCCTGCTGTGCCGGCTGTGGATGCCTCATGTGGCGGTGGCCTTGGTGGCCTGGGTGGCCTGGGTGGCTGGGTGGCTTCCATGGCCTCAGTGGCCTCGGTGCCAGAAGCCAGTGCCAGGCTTGTAAGGGGTGTGCCACGGCCCCACCCGGGTCGGCAGGCCTGGAGGACGCCCACCCCCACCGTCTGGGAGCGGGCACCCACAGGGCATCTCCCACATGCAGGTCAACTTCTTCCTCTTCGTCAGCATCGTACGCATTCTGCTGCAGAAGCTGACGTCCCCCGATGTGGGCGGCAATGACCAGCCCCAGTACAGGTGAGTGCCTGCTGGCCCGCAGGACAGGGCGGTGGCCAGGCACAGGGGGCCAGAGGCTGCGCTGACTCACAGGTGAGCACCTGCTGGCCCGCAGGACAGGGCGGTGGCCAGGCACAGGGGGCCAGAGGCTGCGCTCACAGGTGAGCACCTGCTGGCCCGCAGGACAGGGCGGTGGCCAGGCACAGGGGGCCAGAGGCTGTGCTGACTCACAGGTGGCCGCAGAATAGTCTGTGCTGCGTCCTGGTCGGCTGGCCAAGAGGCCAAGAGGCAGGGCTCCGGTGGGCATGACGGACCGTGGGCCCTGCTCTTGCCTGGCTACAGACGCTGAAGCCAGCAGGCTACGTAGGTGTGTGGCCAAGCCCCGAGTCAAGTCCCGCGGTTTCCCCTTGGCCACAGTCACCGCGACTGCTGTCCGAGCCGCGGGTGGGCTGCGTGTCTGCGGCCAGCAACTGGTGCCAGGCTGACCACTGTGAAGGACAGGCAGGGCTGAGGTTAGAGACGTCAACAGACAGCTCAAACCTGCCTATTCTATAAACTGCCACCCCCATTCACACCAAAAGTAGAAAGTCACAACTCTGGTATAAAATAAGCAGGAGCGTCCAGGTCAGGAGACGCAGGCACCGCCGCCACGCCAGCCCAGGTCCGGCAGCCGGGTGTTTCCCGCTGCCCAGGGACCTGCTGTCCGGCCATCCATGGCGGACACCGGCGGTGAGCGGGCAGCAGCGGCCAGGGCCCAGAGCTGGTCCCATCCCACGGGGGCCTGAGATTCGCCCCTCACGCTCTGGCCGCCTCACTCAGAACATGGGGCTTGTTTGCCAGTTGATGAGTCCTGAAAGATGTGATGTGCCCGGCACAGAGATCCCCACACCGAGGGGCCGCTGTTCATATCCTTCACCCTGCCCGTGTGCCGGACAGGGGCCCGTTTTGATTTCTGCTTAGTAAGGAATGGCCTGTGGAGACTAGCCATGCTCTACCCAGGAAGCAACGTAGAGCAGGCTCCTGGGGTTGGAGCCAGGCCATCCTATCGAGGAGCCTTGCTCTACAGGACACAGTATACTGAGTATGTCAGAGTGTGGGGGAAATGAACACACTTCTAAAACTTGCACACCCAAGAGTAGATCGGAGGCATATACCTCCAAACAAGATGAAGACATCAGTGTTTCTCTTCAGTGTTGGCAGGTGACGTGTCTGACACCAAGCAGAGCAGTTTGCCGACGCATTGGACTAACGGGACCTAGATCAGCAAAGGCCCTGGGGTTCTCCCGCGGGGACCCGCATGGGGCTCAGAGGCCCCTCGGAATGTGTGCGGTGGGCCCTCTGCTCTGCCATCCACCTCTTTTTGCTCAGTGCGGGGATGGAATCCAAGGCCTCACACCTGCCAGGCTAATGCCCTGTCCCTGAGCTGCACCCCAGCCTGTTCAAGGCTGGTGGCTGATGTCCCCTCCAGATGACACTTTGTGCAGACAGCGTCGCCCACGTGTGGCGTGGGGGGGCCTTGGGATGTGGGATCTTGGGCCTCCTCCAGCCGGGCCAGGTCACAGGTGTGGCGTGGGGGGATCTTGGGATGTGGGATCTTGGGCCTCCTCCAGCCGGGCCAGGTCACAGGTGTGGAGTGGAGGGATCTTGGGATGTGGGATCTTGGGTCACAGGTGTAGAGTGGAGGGATCTTGGGATGTGGGATCTTGGGCCTCCTCCAGCCGGGCCGGGCCACAGGTGTGGAGGCCATGGCTACCTCATCACTCTCCTCTGCCAGGAGGCTCGCCAAGTCCACGCTGCTCTTAATCCCGCTCTTCGGCGTCCACTACATGGTGTTTGCTGCGTTTCCCATCGGCATCTCCTCCATGTACCAGATTCTGTTTGAGCTGTGCATTGGCTCCTTCCAGGTAGGCAGAGGCGGCCCAGTGTCCGTGGGGGCCCGGCATCCGTGGCGGCCCGGCGTCCGTGGTGGCCCGGCATCCGTGGCGGCCCCGGCATCCGTGGGGGCAGCCTGGCGTCCGTGGGGGCCCCGGCGTCGGTGGGGGCGGCCCAGCATCCGTGGGGCCCGGCGTCCGTCGCGGCCCGGCGTCTGCAGGGGGCCTCCGGCGTCCGTGGGGGCCCCAGCGTCCATGGGGGCGGCCCGGCATCCGTGGGGGCCCCGGCGTCCATGGGGGCAGCCCGGCGTCCGTGGGGGCCCTGGCGTCGGTGGGGGCGGCCCGGCATCTGCGGGGGCAGCCTGGCGTCTGTGGGGGCGGCCCGGCGCCCGTGGGGGTCCCCGGCGTCCATGGGGGCAGCCCGGCGTCCGTGGGGGCCCCGGCGTCGGTGGGGGCGGCCCGGCATCCGTGGGGCTCGGCGTCCGTGGGGCCCAGCAGCCTTGACGTCCCTCCTCCTTGCAGGGCCTGGTGGTGGCGGTGCTCTACTGCTTCCTCAACAGTGAAGTAAGTACCTATGGCCACTCTGAGCCCAGAACTGGGTCAGGGAGACCGCCCTGGCCTCTGGGCCAGCCACACGCCCATTTGTCTCCTGCCGCCACACAAGGAAGACCGCCCCTCCCCATACAGCCGGGTGCAGCTTCCAGCACACGGCCGCCTCCTCCCTGGGGCGTCTGGCCAAGACCCGGGCCATCAGCATCTTGCTCTTTGAGCTGTGACTGTGAACCCAGGGGTTTGGGCTTTGGTAGAGAGGAGCAGGGCCTGCTGGGGGATGCACCAGTTCCGTCTCTGGCTCTCCCACAAACCTGCTTCTCCCGCAGCCCCTTGAACCTGGGGCCTGCACACGCCAGCCTTGCTGCCGGCCCCTTGCACGACCCTTTCCGTCTGGTAACTGGCCCCTGCGTTTGGTAAGGAAGGCATTTCCAGGGCTGTCCCCCTAAGGCCAGACTCCCAACCCCCACCACACTGCTGCCCACCCTCACAAAGTCCCCAGAGGGAAAGGGGCCCGGGAAGACCCTCCCGGGGCTGGAGCTGTCCCGAGGGAGGGCACCCCCACGCCACGCTGTCCCCAGCGGCTCTCGGGCCTTCTCCGAGCCCCCGCCCCACCCACCTGCCCAGGACCTGCTGGGGCCTGCCACTCACCTGCCACAATGTCGGGACCCTCTCCCTTCCCGCCATCCTCTTCCTTGCCTGTCTCTTGATACTCACCGGAGGCAAATATCCTGTCCACGGCATCACCCTTGCTCCAAGCCCACCAGCCATCTTGGGGTGTGGGCAGACCATGTTCCTCTCCCCAAACCTGTACATGGAGTGTGGCAACCTGCCCTCATAGCAGGGCAGGCAGAGGGCGCTCGGAGGGCCCCCGCCGTCCTCACCTCCCAGGCCTCCAGTCACTGGCGTGCTCGCCCCCAGGTCCAGTGTGAGCTGAAGAGAAGGTGGCGAGGCCTGTGTCCCAGCCAGCCCGGGAGCCGAGACTACCGCCTGCACAGCTGGTCCATGTCACGGAACGGCTCGGAAAGCGCCTTGCAGATGCACCGGGGCTCCCGAGCCCCGTCCCTCCTGCAGACGGAGACCTCGGTCCTCTAGCCTCCTCCCTCGCCTTGGAGCAGACCACAGTGTGTGAAACCGCGTGTGCAGGCTTTTTCCCATTCCAAGGTTGTGTGCCTGCTGGGTCAGTAAGAGCCTTGATCTGCCAGGCCCTTAACCCAACCCCCACCAGCGCCTGATCCCAAGCACAGGCAGGTTCAGATTCCCTTCATCTAGTTGCTCATGATGTTTAAGCGCCAGGATTTAGGTCCTCCTGCTCATGATGTTGCACAGATGTGTAGACAGGCCCACAAAGACAGCAGGGAAGAGAATACCAAAACCGGATGCTTCTGAAGAGGACAGGAGGCTTCCTGACTTCCCAGCCCCTCCTGGCACCACAAGCAGGGCCCCGTGCTGGCTGGGTCAGGACCGCTCACACCGTCCGAGCCATGCCCACAGCTCTCCCGTTCTGTGCACCGCACAGACACAGAGGCCATGCGAGAACTTCAGTCACTCTGAAGCCAGGCCAGGGAAAGCTGTTGAGAGTGACCTGCTCTCAGGACAATCTCCTGGCCCCACGGCCACGGCAGCGTGCCCCAGGCCTCTGCGCCAGCAGCCCTGTTAGTCACCATCTCTCAGCCACGACAAGACGGTGGCCCCAGCCAAGAAGCAGCCTCCTCCTCTACAGAAATGCCGCAGCTGTCCCTGTCTGCAGGTGGCCGGGGCCAGAGCAGCCCTGGAGGGGTCACAGGAGGGCCCCAGCCCAGGCTGGTGACCAGGCTGCAGGGCCCTGGGACCAGCCACGGCGGCTGTTTACCTGGAGAATTGTGTCAACACAATGTGGAATGACATGAACTGTACTTGCACATAGCCGTGGGCGCCTGAGCGTTGGTTATTTGCAGGTGTGGGGAAGTAGCTGACAGGGCTGTGGGTGCGGCTGGCATAGAGGGACCCTGCAACGCTGGGACCCTGCACACTGAGGCCCAGCCCAGCAGAGGGCCGTGGCCTCGGGACCCAGGACTCTGAGCAGGTGTTACGTTACTTTCCCCACAAGAGTGAGGGCCATCAATCATCTGTATGGTTTTGGTCTTGTAGATTCTAGCCAGCATTGATACTAACAACGGTCATGCCAGGGGTGGAGACTGGCAGGGCCAGGAGGCAGCAATGGCCTCCAACCAGCTTCCAGAAGCAAGCTGGGGAGCAGCCAGAGCCGCCGGGCTCAGCGCCTACGCCCACCTTCATTCCACACTGCCCTGTCCAATCCATTGCTGGATTTTGTTTAGAGTCATGTGAGCAGACGGCCGGAGGATCCAGGGAACACCTACGTCACCACCTCCAGGGCCAAGGCCCAAGGACAGGACTGGCAGCAGCCGGGGGACAGAGAGTCAGCCTGCCCCATTTCCACCCACCTCCAGCCCTGCTCCGCTTGCTCTAGCCATTTTGAGGAAATGAAGCTTTGCTATAACTGAACGTGTCCTGTAGCAGCCAGGAGTGGACGCCATGCCGTGACCCTGAGTGGACACTACGGGGCTGTGAATGCCAGGGCCCGGCTACTCAAGCGCCGGGGAGGTGAGGGTGGGAGGTGGCCAGCACAGAGAGGGGCGGCGCCTTCTTCCTGACAACGCTGAGGACGAGAGCACCCGCCCGACCAGTAGCAGACATGGTGGCCAAATGATCAGTGTGTATTCTCAAGCTTGTGTGTGTGAGATGTCCACAAACTCCACCCCACGGTAGGAGCGAGCTATGTGTGTATTTCAATAAACCCTGACTTATACCTGCATGAGTTCCTGTGGGCAGTGCTGAGGCCCCTCCACAGAGGTACCAGGCTTCTCAGCCAGGGGAGAGGCCACGGGCACCTGGGGAAACACCAGCCCTGCTCAAAACATCACTGCCTCTGCCTGCAAGTGCTCATGGGAGCCGAGGGTCTGAGTGGCCAAGAAGGGTCAGTGCAGCTCGCGGTAAAGGCCAGCACAGCTGGGCACAGCAGCCTTCCTTAGCCCCGGCCCCTAGCCCGTCAGTAGACGGGGCCTGCGTGCATGTGCACATGAGGTGTGCGTCGAGTGTGCCTGCGTGGGGCTGTACTTCAGGGTGGGTGTGTGCGCCGGGTTTGCAAACAGTGGTATACCTGCATATGTGTATGGAGGGAGCCCATGGCTGTACCTGCCAGTGTGTTCGCGTGCGTGTGGATGTGTCCGTGTGGTATATACAGGGCGTGCTTGAGTGTGAGTTTGCACATGCCTCTGTGCTCTGACCCTTCACCACATTCATGTTATAAAACCTATTCTGTTCCAAACTGCTTTACAGTAGAGGAAGCACATTGCTAAAAGTCAAATTCTCAAGAGCAGGCCTTGGAGCCGAGCAGACAGCCTGGCCATGGGCCCTCCTCAGAGCTGGGAGGCGGGGAGGGAGAGGGCTGCACACCGTCGGTTTGTCCCAGGGGTGCGGGGCCCGCGTGGCTCCGGCTGAGCTGGGCTGCGGGAGCCCCTCGGAGGGATGCCTCACCGCTGGGAGTCGCAGCGTGCTCCCTTCTCATCCAAACCAGCAGCCTTCTCCATGTCTTCAGACTGTACAAATTTAACACTTAGGGGTTGTGGGCAGGTGCTGCACAGGAAATGGGCTGCTGGTCCCAGGGTTTTCCTCCACACAGACACTGCTGTTTCCCTCCCTCCCTCCCTCCGTCTCCTGGAAGCCAGGTCACATCGTATACACTTTTACAGCCTGCTTCTTTCTATTAAAGTCACCGTGTAGAACTCGCCTGTTGGAATATACAGCACTGCTTTTATTTTGTGAGTCGAGGTCTCACCACGAGGCCCGAGCTGGCCTCAAACTCACAATCCGGCTTCAGCTGCCCGTGTAGCTGTCCCACCACACCTGGCTCAGATCCACATCACTTCCAACAGTTGCTTAATGAACACTCACTAGCAGGCTTCGCTTGCTTGCTTAATTACTCGCTGGGGTTTGCTTTTGCAGGTGTGGTTGCTTACCTGAGTGTTTGCATTGGCTAAGTTCCCACCAGGGGGCTGCGGGTCCCCTGGCGGTCAGTTCGGGGTGGGTGTCAGCCCTGCGGCTCTGCAGCCCCCCAGGGGCTGCCACGCCAGCTTGCACGGCCCTACCTGCCAGCTAGGGTGCCTGTCACCTGGATGTGCAGGTTTCCATGGTGAGAAGCCATGAATACCTCGTCTTCACAGAAAGTTTTTCTCCCGTTCTAGTCTGGCGCCGAGCCTCAGCCTGACCCACTAACAAACTCAGCAGTGCTTCCTGCAGCTCGGGCTGAGCTCCTGCTGACCCTCCATGGCTCTCGCTCTGGAAACAGACTGCGTGCTCAGCCCTGCCACCGTCGCCAGGGACCAGCGGGCACCGCAGAGTGCGCTGCATGGGACGTGGCCCTCACAAAGGATTTAGGGCATCTTTTATACAGAAAAGTGCTTGCTGGAGAGAGAAAGAATAGATTCTTGCTTCCTTTATGTCCGACACGATCAACAAGGGAAGTAGGGCAGAGCTGTGTCAGCAGGGGTCTCCAGGCTCATAAAAACAGCCCCTCCTCCTCAGCTCTCCAGACTTCAGTGGACCCTCGGGGCAGGTCCCCAGGAAGGACACTCACCCCGGGCCACCCAGGACCTTTTCTAAAGCAGCTTCTGTTCAAGACCAAGGTCAAACAGGACATGCTGCTGCCCAGGCCCAGGTTGGGTTCCAGAGACTAGGAAAATGTCACAGGAATCCAATTGTGTGCATGTTGTGACTCCAAACCATGAAGTCAGTGGTTACAGCCCCATGACAGCACGTGGGACCACGAATCCTCCCACGGTCACTCCTGGCGTCAGACTGAATCGGGAGCAGGTCTTCCTCCCAAGCCCATCCCTGTGTGGCGAAAGTTCTACCGGAGCTAAAGGTAAGTCTAGGGCCAGGGCCCGTGCACTGAGCCCAGGCCCAGGTCCAGGTAGCTGATCCTCAGAAATACTGAACCCTGGTAGAAACTGCTCTCTGGAGGACCCCAGGGTTTCGTGTCCTTGTCCCTCCATTTCCACCCCCTGCTGTCAGGGGAACCTCAGTGAGCAGCGGGGGGAAGGCCGGCCCAGAGGCCGGGGCTGGAGGGCGCTTTCTCTGATGACAGGCCTGGCCATACCGAGTAGCAGGCATGCGGACAGCAGGGGAAAAGCCGACTCCAGATCTCTTGAACTGCTTCCATGCTGTGTAGAAAATGCCAGAAAAGGGGCCAGATGGGGGAGGGTGGGTGATAGTGACTACCAAGGGTCGGCGTAAAAACCACAGGCCTTTCCACGTCCCGGCCAAGGTCAGGGACTGCAAAGGAGAGTCTTGCTTCAGGGAGAAGAAGGCATCGTTCATTCTGAGGGGGCTCGGTCCCCCTGATGTGTGCCCCACAGTGGAAAAGCCTGCGCCCGCGTTTACAGTCACGGCCCAACACGCTCTCCAGTGACATGGTGTTCACACCGGTTCCAGTGGGGAAAACTTCCGTGGCCTTCAGATGTTATATCTGAGTTGGGGGACGTTGAACCGTACATTCACGCAGATGTCGATTCAGAGATGGAGATTAGTAGTAAATGGCTACTAAGGAAACTAAAAATAGCCCAAGATCATGTTTTTCTGATTCTGGAATTGAACATAGGGCCCTGCTGCTGTCCCTGAGCTCCACCCCTTCAGCCACAGCTCCCCTTTATCGGTGGTTACGTGAGGTAGGAGTCTCACAGACTTTCTGCCTGGCTGGCTTCGAACGAGCCTCAGATCTCAGCTTCCCGAGGAGCAAGGGCGATGGGTGTGAACCAAGATGATTCTGACTCTCAACCAGCTGCATTAAATCCTCCATAATCACAAAATCCTGGTCACACATGTGACATCTTCAGAAAGCTGCTCGCAGCCCAGTCCCAGACCGACACCCTCAGGAGCATACAAACTGGCAGGTGGGCACTCACAGTCCCCAGGAGCGACGTCGCCCTGCGGGCCGCCCCCGGGCAGCAGTGAGACACCCCAGGTCCCCATTACGTCTGGGGTCTGTGCTTAGCCACAGCTGTCTGAAGCCTGGGCCCCGGCACAGCTCAGACTCCGCGGCTCGGAGCAGAGCCAGTGCATGCAGTGGTGGAAGCAGCCGGAAAGCCAAGATCCAGGATTGTTCCTGAGCTTCATCTGCATGGCCCTGCGGCTGTCCCAGGCAGATGATTACAGATGGCAGCCATATCTGCTCCACAGGTCCTGGGGGGTGAGGAGCGGGGCAGGTGGGGCACTGACCTCACCACACAGCAGGGACCAGGCCGGCATCAGCACCCGGCCTCCCAGGTCCTGAGGTGAGGGAGGGAGGAGGAGGGGTGGGGAAGGAGATGACACTGGACCTGACCACAGGGCAGGGCCCAGGCATCAGTGCCCGGCCTCCCAGAGAGGTGCAGTCCAGAACGCCTTGCTTGGCAAAGGGTGTCTATTTACTCTATTGAGTAAAGACAGGCGAACGGGTGCTCAACTGTCTATGAGCATGGCGCGTGTAAGAATAGGGACGGTGAGGTTAGAGATGCACCACGGTGCTGGGCAGCAGAGAGGACCACCCTGCCCCACGGGAGTCCCGGCCTCCCTCACCGAACCCCCGAGACCCCAGAGAGGCCGCAGCATCCTAAGCCCAGCACTGCAGGCAGGAGCGAGGGTGAGAGGTCAGGCCAGTTCCCTCAGCACACAGGGAGCTGACTCACTCCCCAAGCAGACAGCGGGACACGGCAGACCAGGGAGTGCTCTGACACACGCAGTGCTGACACACGCAGTGCTCTGACACACGCAGTGATGACACACGCAGTGCTGACACATGCAGAGCTCTGACACACACGGTGCTGACACACGCAGAGCTCTGACACACGCAGTGCTCTGACACACGCAGTGCTCTGACACACACACTGCTCTGACACTCACAGTGCTCTGACACACGCAGTGCTCTGACACACGCAACACTGACACACGCAGAGCACTGACACACACAGTGCTCTGACACACGCGGTGCTCTGACACACACAGTGCTCTGACACAGGGAGTGCTCTGACACACGCAGTGCTGACACACACAGTACTCTGATACACGCAGAGCTCTGACACACTCAGTGCTCTGACACACGCGGTGCTCTGACACACGCAGTGCTCTGACACAGGGAGTGCTCTGACACACACAGTGCTCTGACACACACAGTGCTCTGACACACGCAATGCTCTGACACACACACAGTGCTCTGACACACGCAGTGCTCTGACACACGCAGTGCTCTGACACACACACAGTGCTCTGACACACGCAGTGCTCTGACACACGCAGTGCTCTGACACACAAAGTGCTGACACACACAGTGCTCTGACACACACGCAGTGCTCTGACACACACAGTGCTCTGACACACGCAGTGCTGACACACGCAGTGCTCTGACACACGCAGTGCTCTGACACACGCAGTGCTCTGACACACGCGGAGCTCTGACACACACACGGTGCTCTAACACACACGGTGCTCAGACACACGCAGTGCTCTGACACACACAGTGCTCTGACACAGGGAGTGCTCTGACACACGCGGTGCTCTGACACACACGGTGCTCTGACACACACAGTGCTCTGACACACACAGTGCTCTGACACAGGGAGTGCTCTGACACACGCAGTGCTCTGACACACGCAGTGCTCTGACACACGCAGTGCTCTGACACGCAGTGCTCTGACACAGGGAGTGCTCTGACACACGCAGTGCTCTGACACAGGGAGTGCTCTGACACACACAGTGC